TGCATATTGTAACGGTCTATGAACACTGAAGTGGAATCAGCCGAAGGAATGTCCACATTGTTTTCTTACTTCTGGTTGTTTTTTGATACGTCTATTGTTTTAATTCCATGAACAGTAGACGTATCATTCTGGGATTGATGACTAGATTCGGAAGCGCACTTTTGGCTCCGGGCGGCGCGCGCCCGTTGTATCTTGACGGTGCAGGATGTCTTTAAGATGTGTGGTTAAGGTAGTGGAGTTTCATTTATGAAATCAGTAAAGAAACTTTGATGGCTAATACGCCGTGTATACGGCCTTGCTCTCTGCGGAGGTGACATTCTGGTGCAGATTAGAAGAGGAGTTCGGTCATGCATAGTAATGAAAGTTGGCCAGGTTCTTCAATGTTTCTGTAAATGCGCTGACGTGCTTTTTTGTATGTGAACTGTGTGTGTGAGATGAATAAATATCCTGTTTTACGGGGTTAATCCTCGACTAATGACCAATCCATTGCATGCCGATCAATTAAAGAAAGAAAACACAACACACGACTATAACAAACGAGGTGATTAATTAGTGTAAGTATTTCGGCCTAAAAACATTTCAGTTCAAAAGCAAAGTGAAAGATTCGAATGTGTTAGTCCTGATCCTTAATTATAGCGAAAATGAGACGATTAATTAGTGCAGGTGTTTGGGCTAAAAACGTTTTGGTTCAAAAAGCAAAGTAAAAGCATTTCGAATGTATTAGTCACCTAATTCTTAATTAGATAAAGATGAGGCGATTAACCAGTGCAAGTATTTCGGCTCAAAATGTTCCAACTCAAAAAGAAAAGTGAAAGTACTTCGGATATATTAGTCGTCTGATCCTTAATTAGAGCAAAAAGGAGGTTATTAATTAGTGCATGTATTTCAGATGTAATTAGTCGTATGGTCCTTAATTTGAGAAAATTGAAGCGACTAAATAGTTTTGGCTTAAAAAATCGGTTTAGAAACCAAAGTGAAAGTATTTTTGGATTAATTAGTCGTCCGATTCTTAATTAGAGAAAAACGAGGCGACAAATTAGCATTTGCATATGATCTGCGTTATTAATCTGGCTATTAATCAAGACAGGTTGATTGAGGCATTATATATGCGTGGTGGGTTGGCAGGAGATTTCAGATAAGCGCAGGATTCATCATTTAATGCTGACATGAGCAGAACCCACTTGAATGCGAAATACTAATTATATGCGGGTTGACTGTCGTAATTATACACAGAAGAAAATCAAAGAGATACTAATTACTGACGGCTTTGGATGAACCTTGAATGATGAGATTTAGGGGGGTGGCGTGAGCAGGTTCTCCTTCGTATTTCCGACTAGATTCAGCAAATCCCGGTGCTGGTAGTAAGAACGATTATTAGAAAGTTGGCCTGCACATGCCAGGCTCTTAAAAGCAAGAATGCAGATTTGAGCAGGTGGAGTTTGATAGATGAACCTCCTTCCCGGATTTGACGAATGTTGGATGCATAAATACCTTTCAGTTAATGTATTAATACAAAAGGTCTAGGACTACGAGGGTGGTTGGCCTCCACAGCCTCCATATTTTGAGGCACTGAGGTCTCGTTTTTGGAGCGAGCTTCATAAATTATGCCGATCACAGCGCATATGTCGGACTCTGCTAGAGTGCATTTTTGCGTGTTGATTTTTATACTAGCTGTTATTATGGCGATCTGCCACATATGACACATCTAATAGAGTTGTTGCAAGGGTCTTACTTTCATTGATTTTTTTTTGATTGTTAGCTACTACAGTAGCATGTACAATAACGATAGTTGAGTTTGTTATGTTTTTCCCTTCCATCTCGATGATGTTATTTGTATTAGCTTGCGTGTCATCGTTTCCTAGCGCTGCTTCAGACTATAGGTTTAACTGCTGGTAACTGTGTGGAATGCAGTCGCGAGCCGGGGAAAGTTAAAGTCACACTGTCTTTTGGATTATAATCTCCATTTTCTCTTGTCCCACAGTCTATCTAACCAAATGCATGGTCGTGTGAGAGCCCAACAGCCCACCAGCGGTGGCTGCAGTGTCTCGTCCTGCGGCTGCGCTGCCATGCGGGCTTAGTTAATGGAAGCAAAAGAGCTCCGTTGGTTCAGGCTCGTTGAGTTGATTCTGGAGCTTGTTGCAATGTGCATTTGGGCTGAGGAAAACTCCTGTATCTATTGAGGAGTTCCTAGGGCCCTGGATAAAAACATTTCGAAAAGAAGATAAAAAACTTGCTCTAGTGGGGATTTCTGCCTTATTCTGGGCTGCTCTACCCTCTGATGTGAAGGATGGAGGGGTGTTTCAGGTCCTAGTAGATAGGTCTGCTGCGTTGGTGTGCGTTTTGAACTCTGTAACATCACTCGGTCTGGTTGGGTTTTCTTAATAAAAATCAGAAGGGGAGAGCCATTCTTTTATCAAAAGAAAAAGGGCTTGTTGAGTTGATGATTCTTACCTCTTTGTGTGTTCTCGGGTAGTCTGTTGGCTCTTCAACCTACATGCCCTGGTAACCAGTGGCGGAGTTTGATAAAGATTGTTGAGGGGGCGAACGCATGATTTCTTAGAAATTTTTAGGGATACACTCAAGATTTTTTCTAGAGTAGGGGGGACAATGGCCCCCTTTGGCCCCCATGAAGCTCTGCCACTGCTGGTAGCCATTTAGTCCGTCGCACAATTGACCATTGCCTACTGATCACCGAATACCGATAGAGTGAATCTGAAACTAGTAATACTTCTCATCCAGAAGGACAAGAAAAATCAGGGTAGTATGTGTAAAATAACCCCAAAGGATTTGTAGTGTACCATAAGGGAATGTACTACTTGTGTGCTAAATGTGCTAAATTTAGGATCAGATTCGACCTCACATTCGGATACAAGAAGGGCAGATGCTTAGTAGACCGCTGCTCATCTTCTTTTCGCACTCTCCTGCTTGTGCTGCATCAACAACCTCTGAAGATGGCAAAGGCACCGTCAATGGCACATTGGGCACAGAACTTAGTGCCTGCACCTAGGCTTTAAGCCTAGCCGGCCTATCCCTATCCGCGGACAATGATGCTATAAGATAATGTGGTTTTCATGTTTGCTCGATGAGCAATGAGTACGCCGGTGCTCGTCCATTTCGCGACGCTGTTGCTGTTGCCGTGCTACTTTGTCGGTGTGTCTCGTGTCGATTTTGTGATATGTTTGCAGTCTTTTCAATGGAAAAGAGGCACTATCCGGTGGGAAACGAGATGATTGTTCTCCACATGGCCAGCTGGTACATATCCTTGTGAACTTGATGCTGCCACGGTCCTAATCACCTTTTGCTCGCCACATAGGAGTGTCTCAAATTCAGTGGGGCTGGGAGTGCGACATGGACGTCTGGCTTTTTTTATTCCGCATTTCATGCTCCTTTCACATCTCCTTGTTCCATATAACGGCATGGAGGTTTTATCTTCTGGCATGAGTGGCAGAAAATCTACATACTCCTACGTAACTTGCCTAAGAGCATCTTCAATAGCCGCGCAATAAAAAAACATTTGCTTCGGCAGGCGCTGCAAAAAATAAAACTGCGCTATGCACTCAAAACAAATAAAAAACTGTAGACATAGATAAAAAAAGCGATACATAGATAAAAAAAAGCGATACATAGATAGTTCATCTAGCATAGATAGGTAAAAAAAGACACTAATCCGAGGTAAAAACTACGGTGCAACTAGAAACTACTCCGAGTCGTTGTCCCCCTCCTCGCTTGTGTCGTCCGACGTATCAAGCCACGCGTCTTGCCACCACTCATCGTCGCTAGAGAAGAATGATGCCGCTCCCAGATCGCACTGTGATATCGCGAGTGCCTTCCGACGACGCCTGTCCGCCCATTCCGCACGTTGCCTTGTCCTCCTCTCTGCCCAGAAGACATTCTCGTTGGCGCCGTCCTCCGGGTGGCGCTGGCGCCACTCTGCCATGGCTCGCTCGTCCGCCTTGGCGATGAGTAGGCGGCGCTGCCGCCGACAGTGTTCCTGGCGGTCGGTGTCAGTTATTAGCCGCGGCGGAGGGGCGATGGCCCGCGCCTGCTCGCACGTCCAGACGTCCTGAAAGTTCATCTGTGGGCGAGGCCTCCCGAGGCGCCACGCCGCCCGCATCGTACGCGCGGGCGGCCTCGTGCGCAATCTCGAACGTGCGGAGGCCGAGGCGGACGTCGCCGGACCGAATCTTAGCGTAGAAGGCGCGGAGGGGCGCTCGCGGACGCCGCGGTAGCCCGAAGATCCCCGGCGGCGGGGCAGGGAAGCGAGAGAGAGCGCGTGGCGATGTGGATAGCGATGGGAGGCCGTGTGGCGGGCGCAGCAATTTATAGGCGCGCCAAATCTAGCGCGCGACCTTCCGCTTTCTTTCACGCGCGCGCTTGAGTTTTCTGCCTCAGCTGGAGCACGCGAAACCGTCTCGCGCGCGCTAAAGTCGCATTTTACCGCGCACGCGGTTTATGCGGCCACTCTTGGAGATGCTCTAACTAATCTCTCCACCCCCGATTTCAACTGGGTGGGTTCTCCTCCCCTGATTTCCTCCAATAGAAAAAGGCCATCTAAACTATTACATTAATTTATGTTTGATGTTTACGTAGGTGTAGCATTGCCGCTTGCATGGTACCGAGTTTTCAGTGTGTTTGTAAGCTTATTATTGTGTGCTTCTTTATGTTTTGAACCACTAATGATTAGGTTGTCTATATCTTCTGCTGTAGACATTCTCTCGCATTATCAAGAGAAAATCGTGTTGGCGCACTCGACATTCAGTACAAGTAGAAACATGTACCAGAAATCTATCGCATGTGGATATGTCTACAACTATGTCATATCAGACCAGGTATAAACAAACACTAGCTTAGTTTCTTACCTTGTTTATTTAGCACTGGTACGTAGAGAACGGTTGTTCCTTTTCACGCGTTCTTAGTGCCGGTAAACGTATGTGACCAGTACATACGTACATACATACGTAGAACGATACACAATACACACGTACGTTGACGTATCCGTATCACAGGAGCTTGTCGCAGCGCGCGGGCACGAAGAGCAGCATATTGTGCTCCAGGTCGTAGACGACGTGCGTGTTCTGCTGCTGGAAGTTGCCTATGAGCGACCTGCTGTCCTCGCCCGCCGAATTTACCACCACGCACAGCCCGTCCTCCTCGGTGTACATCACGTAGTTCTCCCGTGGGAGGTCCCAGTCCGCGCCCTCCAGGTGGAGGATCAGCTTCGGCATCGCGGTCTCCTTCTTCTTCGGCGAGACGGTGAAGCACAACAAGCCAACGTGCTCGGCGGTGTTGTTTTTGTTGACTGGCAGCGGCACCTGCGACTCGAACGCCTCCACGAGGCTCCGGTACACGGCCTCCGGGAAGCTCGTCAGGGCCGAGCCGGAGTCGATGATCGTCCCGCCGGAGCCGTCGCCCTTGAGCGCGAACGCCGACGCGTCAAAGGGCAGCCGCGTCTTGCCGACGGTGATGCCTTTGAGCGAAAGGTAGTAGTGATTGGATTTGGGGTTCCGCACCAGCTGGGTGGATTGGATAGGTCCCGTGGCCTGCGCTTCGAGGTTGTCCGGCGTGCCCAGGAACACGGGGCTGGGCCTGGACTCCACGATGGTGGTGAAGCAGTGGGAGAACCTGCCGACCTTGAGTTGTGACGGCAGAGACAACACCCCCCGGCCGAAGCCGGCGATGCCGGACTCGTTTGATCCAAAGGTCCCGGTGTTGAACATGCCGCAACCAAACCGGAGGTTGGGCACGACCGCGACCTTGCCGTTGGCCGCCTGCTGGAAGGTGAAGGTGTCTTGGTACATCCTCCCCGTCGTGATCGAGTTGTCGCCGTACGAGTCGGTGTAGACGCAGGAGTTGTCGCCGACGGCGCACCCGGAGAGCGAGAAGCCCCCCTGCACGCAGAGGGGGTCAAAGCAGGAGACGCCGCGGGCTGTGCCGGAGGCGGAGGTATCCAGCTCCGGGAACGGCTGTGGGAAGCAGACCTGGCAGAAGCACTGCGTCCAGATGAGGTCGCTGCCGGTGTCGAGCGTCAGCGCCACATGCTGCGGGCGCGGCGTGTCGATGCCAAAGTGGATGAGGTACTCGGAGTTAAAATTAGTGTAATCTAAAAATGTTAAAAATGACACTGTTAATTAATTATTTTGTGTGGTCTCTTCTCACGTGATGGATGCCTGCATGCCACTGCATTAATTTTCCTCATGTTCATCCTTCTGCATCAATTTTTGTTTTTCAAAATTATAAAAGACATCCTCTAAACCGCGCGTCGAAATTCAGTTCCGTTTTCACTGTTGAAACCCTCGCGACGTGCTCTTCAAAAGTAGATCCCACATGGACATGTTTCGGCGAACTAGTCTTCCTGCCAACTAAACATCAATGTATGCGCAACTAAACTACATTGTCGCGCCAACTGAGCATATGTGTGTTCCAAAATAGCACTCCCAACTAAACATTAATGTGTGTGGAACTAGACTACATTACCGCGCCAACTGAGTATATATGTGTGCCAAATAGTCATGCCAACTAAACATCAATGTCTGTGCAACTAGACTACATTGCCGTGCCAACTGAGCATATATGTGTGTCAATAGTCCTGCCAATTAAACATCAATATGTGTGCAACTAAACTATATTGCCGCGCCAACTAAGCATATGTGTGTGTAAATAGTCGTGTCAACTAAATATCAATGTGTGAACTAGACTACATTATCGCGCCAACTGAGCATATGTGTGTGCCAATAGTCTTGTCAACTAAACATCAAAGTTGTCATGGTTGCTAGAATGCAATCTCATAGGAAGTTGAATTATGCAGATCCAAAAATTGGTTTTGCAAAAAGTTGCACGATGTAGTACTAAAGTTGCACAATACAGTACTAAAGTTGCACTATATAGCATCAAAGTTGGCATCAAAAAAAATTCGTCGAAACATACTCATGCGGGATCTAGTTTTAAAGATCTCGTCGCAAGAGTTCCAGCAGTGAAAAATCAAATCCCGACGCACGGTTTGAAAGATATGACTTTTTAAAATTTAAAACTCTGAAATGAATATGCGTGGATATGTTTTGTTCGGAATGGAGTAATTAGTGTGAACACATTTAATACTAACAACCACATGCACTAGAAGACAAAAAATTAACAACCACATGCATGCGAGACGCGGCCGCTCAATTCAATCAAGAAGTGCGTATGCACTTTTTAAATTTTAGGTTTTTTCTTTTAACACGACGCCTGCTATTTGTTTCCGTCATTAGCTTGTGCGCCAGCGTTTCCTACCTACTGAAGATGATGAAGATGGCACGGCAGGGCACAGAACTTGGTGCCTACATGCATGCGTCTAGGCTTTAAGCCCGTCGAGCATGACACTATTAGAGAATCCCTATCTGCGTGAGGAGCGGTGAGCACGCCGGTGCTCGTCCATTTCACGATGATGCCGCTGTCTGCTGTGGTGCTACTTTGTTGGTGTGTCTCTATGTCGATTTCATCGTACGTTTGCGGTCTTTTCAGCAGAAAAGAGGCGGCACTACCTGGTGGTGATGAACTACATGATTGTTCCCACCCCCCCCGCTTCATATGGGACATCTTTTCTTTTGCGAGGTATATGGTACATCTTCTTGTGAGCACCGACGCTGCTGCCACCGTCCTATGTGTTTGTCTTCTGGTTTTCTAAGTGCCTTCTTATGCGCACCACCTCCGAATCTCAGGTATTAATCGCGCGACATGCTGCTCGGTTTAACAAAACTACTCCCTCCGTTCGTAAATATAAGTATTTTTTAGATTTCACTACAAACTCCACGCGGATGCATATAGACATATTTTAGAGCATAGATTCATCTATTTTGTTCCGTATGTACTCCCTCCGTTCCTAAATATTTGTCTTTCTAGACATTTCAACAAGTGACTACATACGGAGCAAAATGAGTGAATCTACACTCTAAAATATGTCTACATACATCCGTATGTAGTAGTCATTTGAAATGTTTAGAAAGACAAATATTTAGGAACGGAGGGAGTAGTTCATAGTGAAATCTCTAAAAAGACTTATATTTAGAACAGAGGGAATAATTAGCATGCATGTATTCCTTACGAAGAAGAAACATGTTCATCCTAGTTAATAGGCAAACTGTCAGCAAAAATAAATAAGTGATGTACTACTAAATACTCTCTTCATTTTTATTTACTTTGCATATTATCTTTGTCTCGAGTCAAACTTTTTAAATTTTGACCAAGTTTATACAAAAATTTATTAACATCCACAATACCAAATCGATACCACTGGAATCGCCATCCAATATATTTTCATACCATATATATTTTTATTATGAAAGTTTAGATGGTTTTTGATAAACTTGATCAAACTTTATAAAGTTTAACTTAGGACAAAGCTAATGTGCGGAGTAAATAAAAACGGAAAGAGTATTACAAAGTCTAAATCATGACTTCTACCTTCGAAAGTCGGCTCGAAGATTGAAAAAAGGACTGCTCCATTGGTAAAGATTGTCCTTTCGCCAATGTATTTGTGACATCTTTAAAGGGCACACGCTCAACAGCCTCGGATTAAGGTACAAATGACGTGGCCACATCCTTCTTAACTTGGCAGGTTTTTCATTGTTTTCCAAGGTATTGTGCCTTTTTCTGGCCAGTTAGATGAGCATACCACCCTTAGCCTCCGCCCCGCTTTGTAAGAAAACTATGGTTACATACGGAAAGCTAAAATAGGGAATCAAAATACTGAGATAATGCTAGGATTGTATGGCGATGCGTAGGGGCGCTGCTTTGGTCTCTTTGGTCGGTTTGGAACAAATTTACGATTGAACAAAAGTTCCCTACTCACCCAAATGATATTATCTTCAAATGCCACATTTTCCTACAGATTTGCGCACCATTGGAAAGACACGTGGCGCGGACCGTATGGACGGGATCATGGAGCAGATAAAGATGACTATGGTGAAGGCACGACAGACAGATGTGCCAGTTTGAGACTTTTGCGCCGAGCTTGTTTGATGTTTAGCTGGTCTTTTGGGCATGTTAAGCTCCTCCTATGGTGGCTAGAAACTGATTTTATTTAGCCTAGACTATTCGGGGATATGTGGCCCGCCGTATGGTCTGTATGTTTAAACTATCTGTGGATGCTGCCTAGTGGCTTTATTAATTTAAAGCCGGACGTTCTAGTGTCTACGTTCTAAAAAAATACTGAGATAATTCTGACGTTCACAATAGATAAAACATTATGTATCTAATTAGCATGTTCCAGAAAATTGATGAAATAGCAGCGTGCTTATCATCTCAAATACCGGATAAGTTGTATTGTCGTTCCCTGAAGAAGGAGATAGCGACTGTTTATGCGAGGGATCATCCATAGAAAATGATAGCACTGGCTGTAAATCACATTGGGACCGACAGAGGATTCGTTGGTGTTGAGCACATATGATAGTGGGTGTTGTAGGGATGTTCTCGTTCGGCGACCCGGCGCCGATGAAGCAAGTGGATCTGCACAGGCGGAGCAAACAGGAGCGCCACCGGCAGGTGTTGCTCGAGTTGGATGGGAGCGATGGACGCAGACGTGCGTCCAGTGCGTTGTTCTTTTCACGTGAGCAAAGGCATTTTTGGAGGAGGGGCATGATGGTGGGAGTGTGCGGTGCGTGATTTTGGCTAATGTGTTTTTTTCAATTATTACGTGATATATGGTGTGACAATTTATTGCCTAATGAAGGTGTAATTAAGGTGCAATGATGCCTAATTAAGGTGTTCTGGAGATAATGCGTGATATATGGTGTGACGATTTGTTTCCTAATGAACTGTAATTAAGGTGTAATGATTCCTAACTAAAGTGTTGTGAAGATGATTAAAACTTATTAATATATATGTGAATTTAGTGTGACACAACATTCGAACAACCTGGTCCACTGATGAATGATAGATATGTGGCTGAGATCTAATGTTTCTTCCTCAACTCACTTGTTTATAGTATAATCGAGATGGAAATCAGTGGGACATAGAAGATGTGCATTTATCTATTCCACATTTCTTGTTCTTTGGCAACATATTCCATATCTTCGCACACAGGCGGAGAGTTTATGTTTCAGCAAGGGCGGCGGTTTAGCACCAGGTATGATCGAACATGAAAGCTTGTCCAATTTTGCTATTTCTCAGGTACATGAATTTTTCTGTTGTGTTAGTCACCTTTTCTTCTTATTTCCTTCTTTTCGGGGGTACCTCGTCGAAGAAGCAACATCACTATCTGTCTTAGAGGGAAGCCATAGCCTCATTATTTACCTTATTAGGGGGAGCCACAACCCCATTATCTATCATAGGGCTGGGGTTGCAGGGGATCATCAGAGTTGTTCATCGGTGGTGTGGGACTTAGAGGGATGGTCAGGGCGTCGGCCAGCACGACGGTGGGGGAAGGTCGAGGGGAGGGTGGGATGATGAGGCAGCTATCGGTGTCAAAACCGGCGGATCTCCGGTAGGGGGCCCCGAACCGTGCGTCTGAGGTTGATGGTAACAGGAGACAGGGGACATGATGTTTACCCAGGTTCGGGCCCTCTCTATGGAGGTAATACCCTACTTCCTGCTTGATTGATCTTGATGAATATGAGTATTACAAGAGTTGATCTACCACGAGATCGTAATGGCTAAACCCTAGAAGTCTAGCCTGTATGACTACGGTATTGAGTATATCTTTTCCGGACTACACCCTCCGGTTTATATAGACATTGGGGGGATCTAGGGTTACATAGAGTCGGTTACATAAGATGGAATCTTCATAGTTGTTCGCCAAGCTTGCCTTCCACGCCAAGGAGAGTCCCATCCGGACACGGGCACCGTCTTCGGTCTTCATATCTTCACAGCCCATCAGTCCGGTCCATAGATAACAGGCCGGACGCCCGAGTACCCCTTAGTCCAGGATTCCCTCAGTAGCCCTTGAACCTGGCTTCAATGACAAGGTATCCGACGCATAGTGCTATCTTCGGCATTGTAAGGTGGGTTCCTCCTTCCGAACTCCCGAATAGTCTTCAGACGAATTGATCGTGTTCGGACCTGTAACACACACCGCACACAACCGTAGAGAGAATATAATAACACACAAGTCCAATCTGCTGACAACTTTAGTAATGTGACGTCACGCCTGTCCGGTCATAATTTCGAACCATTTTTCGCCCCACGTTTCGAGACACGGTTGTCATTAGCATGTCTTGTCAAAGCAGAGAT